TCATGGGTAGTTACATTCTGCCCTAGAGGGTGGCTAGGAGTCAGAAGTGATTAAATGACCTGCTGTAACAATAAGAGTAAACATGCTACGACCGAATACTTCTGTATACCAGGTACTAGCTAGTCTTGTCATTGTTTTAGAGATTTAAACTATTCAATCCTTTTAACAACCCTATTTTACATAAAGGGTGTCTTTGTGGTGTCAACAATTAAGATGCCTGGTTACAGGCCAGAGGTGGAAGGTTTGAGCCCAGCTTGTGGTGCCCCCGGTACTCTGCATAGGAAAACTCTGCCCTTCAAGGCGCACGGAGCCCAGTTTCACTCTGACATGGGATTGCCATAAGCCAGTGCCAACTCACAGGCAATGAGTGGTTTTTAAACTTTCACTTTACAGGGACAAACACCCAGAGGTTAAGCCAGTTGCACACAGAGAAGCAGCCTGGCAGGGGTAGTGCCAGGATTTGGCTCCAGAGCCTTTGCGCTTCACCTGAGGGTGCCTCCTCCCTTGAGTCACCTTGGTCCCCAATCACCAGTCTCACTGCCACATTCCAACTCCCTGAAGCAACTGGCGCTTGATTGGGAACGTGACCCAGAGCCGGCCTGCAATGGCCGGCAGAGCACCTGGCCCAGAGAAGGCCCTGCACAAACATCTGTTGAGGGAATGAAGAATAGATGATTCCGGCTTTATATGGTCATCACTTCTGCAAGACAGGGGAGAGGCACTCAGGCCTGGGGGTGTTCAATTTTGTCACAGTTCCTACAGATGTTGTCTGCCGCTCCCATTTGGGTGTTCCCACCCTGCCAACAGCGTGGATTCCAAGGGCTCTGGTGTCTCAACTAACGTCACTGCAAAACGGCGTGTGTCTCTAAAGTTACCCCTCATGCTTCCAAATCAGCGCCTGGAAAAAACATTGGCCATCCTCCACGTGACTGACTGATGGGCCAAGTGGCCTCTGTGCCTCTTTCCCCAGTTACCATGGCCTGAGTAAATACACCGCACCCCCTCTCTCCCTCTCTCCCCCCACTCCTTCCTTTCTCCTTTCCCTTTCTCTCTCTCTCTCTGCTCTGGCATATTCCAGGGCCCTGGCTCTGTTTTAAAGCAATCTTCTGACGGTTACAGCAACTTTCCAACCCCGGAGGATCCACTAGATCAAGAGCTTAGGTGTTTTACCGTGACCAAAACAAACCCACTGACCTTACCTCTTACGTGGGCTCCATCTCTGTGGATAGCACCAGCTGGTCAGGACAGTACAGAGTCCTGCAGTACTCGGTGAGATGGGGGCCGAGCACCTAGCTAAAGTGGCCCCTCTCTGAAGGAACTTCCTGTGAGCAGCCTGACTGCAGGTGAATGCTGGGAAGTAGACGGAAGGTCATCCCCATGGCATCAGGAATCGGGTTTCCAAAACAACTGTCAGCCGGGCCAAATATGGAGGGTGAACATGCGTTCTGCGCCCAGGCCAGCAGGCTGCGGTCTCCCCTGTCAGGACAAGGCCCACGCTAGGGCCCGCTCTGCTGACTCACCCCAAACGCTTCTTCGCCTCTAAGGAGCACTGTGCTCCCTCAGGGGTTCAAGGACGGACTTGCCCTGAAATCAGCATACCTGTGGGCGGCTGGGCAGACAGGAGCCTCTGGTCCAGCCTTGGCCGGCCCACACCTTGGAGGGAGTGCCAAGAAACAAGTGAAATCCGGAGGTGTGCTCTCCCACAGGGCTGAGCTGCTTCGTCACCTTGTTGGGATGTGCAGAGAAACAAGCCCTTCCAGCCCCCCTCCCGAGCAGGTGCCTCTGTGCGGGGGTGGGGGGTGGGGTGGGGTGGGGGGAGCAGCTCTAAAAGCAAAGTGCACATCACCTGGAAGGCATACTCCTAGACAGGTGTGGTGGAGTTTCAGAGCAGGCCAGCAAGGGGCCATGCTTCACCCAGAAGCACACAGCAACCTCAACATTCTCCCCAAGAAACAGTCCTGTCCTTGACTAGTGTCCCCTTCCTGCCGATGGTGACTTTCTGGACAGAGCTCAGACTGCGGGACTCGGTAGCTGCACTGTGGATGGCAGATTCACAGTGCAATCTTTGTTTTGTTTTTTTTAAACAACTAATCAGTTTTGCTCATTGGTAGTGAAAATGGGATCTCCGCACTGTCCCCAGGCTCAAGCCAGGACTTGCTAAGGAGGGTCAAGCTCGAGCAGCGTGGCTCCTTGCTTCCACTTCATTGTTTGAAAACCAAGCCTCCTTTCCATCTAGTGAACTCTGCTCCGCGGTAGCCCCTGTGTCCCAGGGCAGACTCCACTCTGAAGGCTTCCCAGACGTCATCTTGACAGAAGCCCATCGCCAGCTCTTTCTTCCTCACTGCCACTGGTTGGGCTTATAGGGCCAACCTTTCGGTCGGTAGCCAAATGTGAGGTGTTGACACCACCCAGGGGCTACACTTAAGCCTTACTGGGTGACATTGTTAAGGTTTATTGTGCCAACCTGGCCAATAAACACATGTGGGATTAATTGAAGGGCAGAGAGATAAATGGCTCGTTGAGCCTTGCCTTTCTAGTTCTCTAGTCTCTGGCTCTCTGATGGTC